TTTGCAGAGGACCAGGCCACTCGGGGCATAATAGGACCAAGTCGAATTATTACTTCCCCATATCAATCTGGATCCGTGCGAGTACAGAATTTAGGGTCGATAGAAGAGCGTCAGTCAATGGTGTCTTTTCTTGAACATCGTGGGCGAAGTGTCGATGAAATCGAATCTGACGAGGAGTCCGAATCATTATCGGAGTCCTCTGAAGCCATTGAGATGCCTTCTATCAAGTTACGCGAGCAATCCATTGTCACAACAGCGACATCTCTTACATCAGCCAGTGGAAACCCACCATCGCCCAAAGATCTCTTGTCACCCACGCGAGGACAAGAGTACAGTTGGATTGATATTGATTCTGACGATGATGATGATGATGACCTTGAGCCTCAAGTTCGGGAGCAATTGGCCACGCCAAAAGAGACAGCTGCTTTATCACCACGACCTCCTACTCCACCAAACAACGAGCCCACCTTTGACATCACTGTCATGATGGAGGCACCTAGACCTCGCCTTCACAGAGCCTGCTCCTGCATTGACGAGTCTCCCAAGCAGAGCAAACACAAGAGGCAATTCTCAGTAAAATCCATGGACGCGCCGACTATCCCCCCCAGAAAAGCATCCCTCACAAGTGCGACAGATCCATTGGACACAACTCCTCGGATCGTAATACCCAGTTTTGATTCGCGGATAGGCCCGGACAGTCAAGGTTACACCAAGCAGTCACCCTCTTACACCCAGCGCTTTCGCGATGAGACTGACAACAACACAATCCTTCTCAAATCAGACTTTGGATCAATTGAGCTAGAAATCGAGGACGAAGACACATTCATGGATCACTATCCACCTCCCCCACCACTGTCACGACCTGACACAGTTTATATCGAACAAACTCCACCTCCATCACCACTACCCACAGTCGAATCTTGGCTAGACGACTCCAATCCTCCATGTCTTCCTCAAATTCCCGTTGACGACTTGGCCAAGGCCGTGCCGCTGCCGCCTGATGTTCTCGAAACACTACGAGTGTCAATTGCTTGCTTCCCAGAAACAATGCTCTTGTCATCTAGCTTGACAACAGAAACAATCCGCGCCTACTCAAAGAAAGTTCGGCAACCGTCAGTCGACGCTTGGTCTGAGCCAGCTACCGACTCATCGACGCTGCACCCACGAAAGTCAATCTGGAAGAAGGTTGTCTCACATGGTCGCGACTCAGCTAGCACTAGACGTCAGCGGTTACACTCGTATGATAGCAACACACATTCGGGCGCCGCCGCATCTCCAGTGCCTTGGGCCTCGCTGCGACATGTGTTTTCCGGCTGCTCAGATTACATCTGTGATGCCCTGTATGCGCACATCGTCGCCTACAACTACGTTTCACGAGTTCCCCGCTACCAGCCAACAGGACAGCGAGCGTCGACCTCGGATTCGAAACAGCAGGGTGAGAATATCCCCAAGAAGGCTGCATCGCTTCTAGGCCTGGGCACACCTCAGGTCAACCCCTCACCTAGTGTTGGTCGGTTCGCCAAGAAGTTCAGTGCTCCCCTGACTGTCATTGGATTCGGCAAGGAGGAAACATCTACAGCAACTGTTCAAGACAATACGACACGAAACATCGAATCAGGTCTTCTTCGCTGTATCTCTAGACTAGTGGCTACAGCCAGGATGATATCTGAAGGAGGCGCTGGGGAGGAGAGATTAATGGACACGGAGCCGCCACAGGAGGTTGATATGATTTTTGTGAGGAGTATATGTGAGATCGTCAGACTATCAGAGGAGACATCATGAAGCCTGGTCATTGAAGCAGCACAAACTTCCAGGGCATTGACCCAAAGCGCTCTTTTCAGCAGCCTTTTTTTTTTTATGTCGATATATGGGAATGGTGTTAATGGTTGTATACCCTGATTCACAGGTTGGGACTTTTTACTTGGCCTGTGAACCAACGAACTCGAGATAATGCAGTCACGTCGACTCTGAATTGAAACATTACACCACAAATCTTACTTAGTACTCCTCTGCTATTGTCAGCCAAGTGACGTCTGACTGTTTCAGCCCTTCCACCAACACTCTCATCTCCCCGTCTAACGTTGCACCGAGTCCATGGATACTGCTCGCCAAGACCGTCATCCCAGACCAAGGGATAAGAGGCTTGACGCTATCGAGGACAACAAACTCGCGGGATAATGAGGCTTTCGAACTACCAACAAATTCACTCTAACATTTTTCAAGGTTCCCCGTACGGGCGCTGGTCCCTGATTCTGAAGGGAGTTTATTCAGGTTGAGCTATGGCGTTTTAGATCGTAGAGCCAGATGGTTCCCGGAGCTAACAGTCTTACTAGGAGGAGCTATAACCGACTACTATCTTAGCTCGGATCGAGAAAAAGGTCATGGTACTGTAGTATTCATCCTCTCGGGTCCGAGGCTTGCCGTGATTTGTAATGCGTCATGAGACGACGCCAAGAGATCTAGGGATTCGTGTGTGTGACCCATGCCTGAAAATAGTATTTGTGTTTACTGTCAGAGCATTTTATTCTTTCCTCTCTAAATCACGGACTATGACCAATTCGCCGAATATACAGCCAACGGGCCTTTGTCGTCGCCAAAAAGCTCATCGTGCCACTTGACAGCGTGACCTGGCTTCTGGCACACGGCATCCCAGTCTATAGGCGTAAAGTTTGGCTCCATGGGAGAAAACACACGGGGTTTGCGCAGCTTATCTTCTTGCGGCGATTTATACGCGATCTTATCTCCACCAAGATCGATCTCTGCGAGTGTGTGAGACGAAGGCGTTTGCTGGAGACGTTGGGTGATGAGATGGCGGAGGTGAGGATGGTACCACATCTTGTGCCACCAGTTCTTGAGTCTGAAGCCTTTAAGCCCGCTTATGTAGGCGTTGTGATGGATTGCTACTGGTGTTGTGCCGAAGAAGAAGTCTGTGTAGAGGGGGATTGTACCCCAGTTTGTAGAAGAGAGTAGTTTGTCTTTTATGTTGTGTAGTTCGGGTGGTATGCCATGAATGCGGATATCTCCTGGAACACCGGCTTTGTGAGATTCTTCGCGGATGTTGTTCTCGTTGGAGAGATTGACGAAGTAGCCGTCTTCTTCGGAGGAACATGTTGGTGGTGCCGTGGTGAAGTTGTAGTCAAGACCGATACCAAACTCGAATCGTTTCCCAAGGAGGGAAGCATCTGCGACATCACGAACAGTACGATCAAGTAACTTTCTGTCACTGAAAGCAGCAGATCCATTCCACGAAGGTCCAATATGTCTCATCCACTCTCGCCAAACCTCCTGGTCTCCGATAACCTCTCCAATAAGCGCCTGGTCACTCCAAAGTTGACGACCTTTCATGGCCACTGTATCAATCTTTTCTTTAGATCTTTTTAGAGCATCTCTCAACCCTCCCATAGAACCCATGATAAGACCGCTATTTACACATCGTGGTCGGACCCTTTTGTACTTGCGCGCGGGATCGAAAGACCATGGGACTTTATCTGTGTCTTGTCCATACATGTCCTTCGGCACGGGCGATTCAGGCCAGTGCTCATAGTGAGGATCAGATCCTGAATAAGCATCGGGAAAACAATCTTTTGCTGTAGTGATGATTATGTCTTGTCGAGGTGGTGATATAGGAAAGTCAGCGCCAATACCGAGATCTTTCCACTGTTTGCGTATCCTTGCATCTGCTTCTCTGTTAAGACGATGATATCGTTCTAGCAAAACAGACGGTGGAAGTTGAAACCACATATCATACGCATCAACCAACACTGCTACATCATCCTCTCCTACATCGTCACTTTCTGATTCAAGGAGCGTTTCGATAGCTGCGAGGAGACTTTCGATCTTGGCGATGTGACTGCCTGCAAAATGCCATGCAGGTCGATTATATTCACGCTTCCAGTTCAGGAGAATGGGCATGGGATAGCCCATCGCGACGGCGGACATTATGGTTTTGCAGAGATTGATGTGCGGTGAGTCTGCAGGCATGAAGAGACGCATACGCCGTGATGTGCTTGGTTTAGAGGATCTTTGAGGGACCGCGAGAACTTTGATCTCATTGGCTGTGAGAGTCGATGAGCCATGATGATCGGGAAGAGGGTGGCTGAGTGGTTGATAAAACTGGCGTTGCCATGTTAGTTGAGTTTGTGGTGATGAAGAAGTATGGTTGACTTGCAAGTCTCGTATAAGTGATCCACGAGACAAGGATGAATGTGAGGGTGATGAATACCCACCTGAAGCTCTTGAGGTGTCGTGGTATGAACCATGATGGCTTCAAATGAGCAAGAACAGGTCGAGCTGACTGGGCAGATGGAAATGATGCATCTTCAGGGTCAGCATTTGGAGCTCTTCTCATCGTGGAGGACGAGCGATGTGATATTGAAGACGAGGTCATTACAGATTAGCTGGATCATGTTGATGGGAGTGCTATAGTCATCCTGACTACTCCGTGGATATGAAATACTATGAGACCCTCGTGATCCATGATGATCATCTTATCTCTTCTTACTCATCTCCTCATGATACTGTAGTGTACTTTATCTATCATGACTCTAGCCTCTGAACAATCCATCATGAACCCACTTTTCACCGCTGATCTTTAGCGCTCAAGCGATACGCTACAGCCAATCACTCGACATCGTGCCCTTGAAAACAGCCCCACGTGGTCCAACAAGAGGCTCTACATCAGCTTCCTCTTCCATCCAATCTCTGTACGTCGTTTTACGCTGGTGATGAATCGATTCGTAACAAGATGCTCTATAATTCCTATCAAGGTATTAGTTAGAGTCATGTCCTCTCGTATTTATCCGCGCGGTGTTTTGGCCTCCGTAAACCGTATTCGGCCAGAGCTGAGGGTTAAATAATTAAATAAGCTTACATTGCATTTATTGAGTTCAGGCTACTTTAAAGTATTGGTTGATTTGTTCTTTGTTGAAAAGCCTCTTTTTTTTTGTGCTTCATTTTTATTCTGACTCTTTCATGGAGGATTTGAGGTGATGGAGTTCAACATGGCTGCTCAGAAGAGCTCGAGGTTGAGTGTCACAATGCTAGCATACCTCGGTTTTGCGATTCTCGGTAATTTCGACTGTCTTCATTCACATGAAGCCTCAACTGACCACTCTCAGGCCTCCTGAATGCGATTGTACCCTTCATCGTACACTCAGCGAATTATCTCATCATTCCTTACCCGCGATGGGTCGTTCTTCTCATCGAGACTCTTCCAGCTTTGGCGACGAAACTGTTAATGCCACATGTTCTTTATCGTGTTCCCTACTGGATGCGTCCTCTCACTATTGGCGCAGGCTGGATCATAGTGGCTATTGTCACAAACGTCACGCCGCCTAATATTGCACCGCCACTTCGAATCTTGACATCAGTGCTGGCATCGACATCCGCTGCTGCAATGGAAGTTTCGTTTCTGGGAATGTTGCGATATTACGGCCGTGTTGGACTCGCAGGATGGGGCGCGGGTGTTGGAGCCGGTGCTGTGTTCTGTGCAATCTTACCATTTGTCTTGACTGTTTGGCTGGAGTCGTTTTTACGGGATTTCATTGACTGCATTTATGCACTTACAGGCGCCATGCTCGTGGCATTCTTTGTCGTCCTCCCTGGGGCGCCTGTCAACTATCCTCATGCGCAACAGGAAGTGTCAAAGGCGGATGTAGAGAATCCTTCTCTGCTAGCCCAGGATCCCGTTGAGCAGCTCTCACGTATGCTCAGCACGAGAAACCGACTCACCCTTACTAAAGCCATGATTCGACCATTCATGATGCCTTTATTTGGAGCATTTGCTACTCAGGCTTTGGCATACCCAGGCATAGCTCGAGCCTTGCCTCTTCCTACATCGTACACGTCATTCTTCTCTTACTTCACCACCTACGGCCTTGCTTTTCAGCTCGGCAACTTTATCTCTCGAACGCACACGCTTCTTTTCCGACCCACTAGTACCAAGGCCGCTTTTACAATCATTGGGGCTTCGACATTCATCTTACTCGCCAACTCGATGTTGCTGGTCTTCTCAACAGAAGTCCTTGTTGGATTACTGGCGTTCGGGGCCGGTCTAGGCGGAGGAGCAGTATATATGACTATTTTCGACCGAGTGCTACAAGATAAATCCTTCGAGTCAGGAATCAACTTGGAGTTTGGTCTTCAGATAGTAAGTGTTGGCGAGACTGCTGGTGTTATAGTCGGTGGGTTGCTGGGCGTGATGCTCGAGAATCTGATGTGCGGAGGCACGTTTACAACGACAAAAAGATGGTGCCACACAAGGCATTGATGAAAAGAGCTATAGATGATGAACATGGCCTGGATAGTAAGATTTATGATTAAATGAACAACTGTATTCCGTCAAGAAAATCACACCCAACTTACAGCTATCGCGACCTGGGGCTCAATAGGCCGAGATCATATCCATCTAATCACGCATTCATATTCTATAATCTCAAAAACGATGCTCACTGGTTAGATATAATTTCTTGGCATACACTGTTCGTTTCGTTCAAGTAGAGCATTCTTGAACCTCATTCGTCAGCTTCACCTATACCCATGAGGGGACTAGCCATAAGCACAGCCACCTCACTATATCCCAGGCTTCAGCTTTAACCATCAGCTCTTATACCAGCTCATCGATCCTCTTGACTTTACATGGAATCGCATTCACTTATCTCATGACAATTATTCACTGCCATTGTTACTTAGCACAACCACCGTTACACTCGTCAACTGGCATTCCTCGCCACCATGATGAAACGAAGGACTCACAACAAGTCTCGGCACGGCTGTCGAAACTGCAAAAAGCGCCATGTTAAAGTACATACCCTCACCAAATTTCAGAATACATCACTAATTCTCCCAGTGTGACGAAGGAGGTCCTCCCTGTACCAACTGTCTTGCCCGCAATCTCGAAGGCTGCTCATATCTCACCGAGCCACCAACACAGCTCCCAGCAACAGAGACCAGACGCAGAATAGAGCTTGAACTCATGCACCGCTGGACATCTTCAAGCTACAAAAGTCTAGCCAGTATCCCAGAAGATAACCAATGGCTCCAGGAAGACATGGCTCGTTGGGCTCTTAAGCATGAGTATCTCTTACAAGGCATGTTTGCCTTCTCAGCTCTCGAAGTCGCGCTCTGTGGGGGTGCTGTAGTTGTTGAAGAAGACTATGACACATATTACGCCAAGTTGGCGGTGGAGTACTACGACAAAGCAAGTCGTTCGTTCAGAGCACAGCTTGAAAATGTCAACTCTGAGAATGCTCAGAAGATCTTCATGTTCTCATTCCTTGCTGTTGCTGTAAACATGGCTCTCGGCCAATGCAGTGCTTTCGAAGAACTTCATGAGGGTGTTTTGGAACGCATGGTCACATTGTGGGAGCTACTCATGGGAAATGCCTCCATCGCCAATCAGCACTTCGACGCTTTGATATCAGGAGCTTTATCACGGTCTACAGAGGCTTTGATGCTAAGAACACAACTTCAGACTGAGACGCCCACATCTTTGAGCAAGGAAACCGAGGAAGCTCTGGAGAGTCTAAGCACTATCATCAACACAGCCTGCCAAACACCTTCTGGTTCAACTTCCAACGACCAATCCGAAGCCGGCGTCCGAATCAGCTCTTACCGCACCAGCTTCTCCGCCATACAAACGTGTTTCGTTCAAGATTCCAAAGACGTCTTCAAAGGAATAGCTATAGGATTTCCAGCTCTTGCTGGGCGAGAATTCGGGCTAGCGCTCAAGAGTTCAGACCCCGTTGCTTTACTTCTGATGGTCTTCTGGGGCGTGCAGCTTGACACATTGGGCAAGATCGCTTGGTGGGTTGGCACGTTTGGAAAGAAGATGGTGGACGAAGTCTCAGAGATGCTGTGGGAACCTGATCCTGAGTTTGAGGTTATGGATATGTCTGAGTGGCGAGAGTGTATTGCTTGGGCAAGGGCAGAGGTTGGTCTGACACCCACCGTCGAGGCTACAGAGGAACCATGATATATTGCTGCATTTTGTAATATGTGTAGAACTATGCGGGTGAGAATTGGATTCGGTCTCACCACTCATTCGGCTTTACAAGGCCACGCAGATACCCAACTTAGTTTAATATGATCTTCTGTGATTGAGCGGCGTTCAGATCTAATCCAATATTACGGCATAACCTATTGGCCTCAGATCATTCAAGCTTGCGCTGTTTCCCGTCTCTTTTCTGGTGCTTATGCGGCCCTCCCTTAATCAATCGGCAATGTTTGCCTGGTATCTTAATCTATTTTCCCCTTATTCCTTACCCCATCGTGAGGTTTCGTCACCCTCCTTCCACTCACGCTCGACATATCCAAGCTCCTTCTTGACCTTCTCGACAGTGTCCTTATCACCCGTGTTCTTTCCAATGTTGTCACTATAACATGTTAGTCGATACGATTGCGAGTCTAGATGCGGAGAACTCACCTGATCTTGACAGCTGGGCGGCCTGCCGCCGAGCTGATCTTGATGACAATGTTCAGAGGCACAGACTTTTTGCCAGTCGTGAGGTGCACAAAGTCGTTGGTAAGGTATGTTCCCACACCAAATGTTGGCTGGAAGCCAAGGTCCTCAGCAATCTTCTTATACTCGAGACACCTCTCAATGTTCAGTGAGTCAGAGAAGACAATCAGCTTCTTGTCGGTAATACCCTGCTTATCGTAGAACTCTTTCATCCACTTGGTGTACTCTGCAGGGTCACCAGAATCTTGACGAATACCAGCGAAGGTCTCCGCATATGTCTTCATGGTACCGTCAGCCTTCTTGAAGGTCTCTGCTGGGAAGCCACCCTCGATAGGTTGCACAGGCTGAGTGAAGGCTCGCAGGAACTCTTGAGTTCCAAAGGTGTCGGTCAAAGCAATACCGAGCTTGTTGCCGAAACAGGCTACCCAGTGTCGCAGCGCGACCTCGGTGGCTGACCTGTAGTCACCAATAATAGCAGCAACGCCCATGAACCACTCGTGAGCGACAGTTCCTACAGGGGGGATGTTGAAGCGCATAGCCAGATGGACGTTACTGGTTCCAGAGAGCTTGCCAGGGAATCCCTTCTTCTCAGCTTCTTTGGAAGCTTGCACCAATCCTCGGAATACAAGGGCCTGGGTGTGGTAGTCGCGGCGTCTTCGTGTGCCGAATTCTGATGTGATGCATCCTGCCTCTAACAGCTTGAGTCCCTTCTCAAATGCCTGCTTTTCTTGGCCATCATAGTTCCAGTCTGTGTCCATGAACTTGAAGTACGCCTCGGATGTCAGAGCAAGCATGGGGATTTCGTAGAGGATCGTGTCGACCCAAGTGCCCTTGATTTGGATATCAACGTCGCCAACAATCGAATCATCTCCATTATCCTCGCCTACAGGAGTGAAAATAGCAACAACTTGTTCTCGGGGGCTAAGTCGGAACTCCTTGAGGAAGTTGAGGTAGTCGTCGGAGAGGTAGTCGCAGTGCTTCTTGAGGAAAAGGTATTCGTCGGTAGAAAGAGAAATGTTTCCGAGCTCTGTCCATCAGGGTTAGTCCGAGATTTGGAGGTAAGATCACCAAAAGCCGCGTTTCATACTTCGAATTTGCTCTTCAAGCCATTTGAAGGCAGTACGCGACAGCTTCTTGTCTGGAGTTCGGTTGGTATAGGCGTATGTCACAGGCACATCTTTGAAGAACTTGAAGACAGCACATTGCATCGTCAACTTGTATAGATCAGTGTCGAGGAAGGAGATGACGCCCTCCGGGAAGGGCGAGGAGCTGTTGAAATCCATGGCGGTGTTTGTGGGTATTGTTATAACGAGGTCGAACTCGGCGGAGATATTCTTTCCTATTTATATCTGGTGATTTATAGGGTTTGGGGACCAGAGTTCGGAGATGCGGAAGTAAATCGAGGAAATCGTGGATAACGCGGCTCGGAAGAACGTGGATGAAGGACGAGAACGATATTGAAAAGACAGGGCCATATACGACTTATGTGTTGTCGTTGAGCTGTAGATTATGACGTTTGCGAATTTGCGAGGTCCCGTTGAGTCATGAGAAGAGGTCTAAAAACGACGGAAATGTGACGCATTCAGAAGAGATCTAGAATAGCACGAACGAACCCGCAGAAGAAGGGAAGCAGAGGGGCACGCTCTGAGGGAAGGTGAGGGGTTGGTCGCGGCTGCCATAGCGGATTATGGAGGGGCACTAAGAGCGCTATGACCACATCTTATTTTCTTTCCAAAGAAAAAAATTTGGTCGAGTTCGCGAGGCTAACATTCATTTTTCTTCCTGAACTGGATCTCTACGCCTGGCTACGCGGCGTCAGAACAACGTATCTATTTCTAGTCGCGCAACATTTGTGAGCCGATTCTCGTATCTCGGCGAGTTAATACCTAATTCCGAATTATCACGCGACCGAGGACTCTTTTCAGAGCCCAGAAACCGCCGTTGCAATGGATATCCATCGATGTCGATTCGTTCCCTACAAACCTTCAGCCATTAACGCCATTGCCTTCTCACACCCCAAGACGCGCTCAGCAGTACAGGCTAATCTTGCGCGGCTCGCTATTGGCCGAGCTAACGGCGACATCGAAATCTGGAACCCTACAAATGGCTCTTGGAACCAGGAGCTCATCATTCCAGGCGGTAAAGATCGAAGCGTTGATGGACTTGTCTGGGTCAATGAGCCCGACCAGGACCTTGGTGAAGGGCGCGTTGCCGCTGGAAAGTCCCGTCTATTTAGCATAGGTTATACCTCCACTGTAACCGAATGGGATCTCGAGACAGGAAGGCCAAAGAGACACGCTAGCGGTCAGCATGGTGATATCTGGTGCATGGCTGCTCAACCTGCTGGATCCGACAAGGTCACACTCGGCGCCGACCCTCAAGATCCCACCAAGCTTATCGCTGGTACAATCGATGGCGAGCTTGTCATGTACTCCATCGAGGACGATGATCTGCGATTTCAGCGAGTTCTCGTACGATCGCCTACCAAGAAGGCTCAGATGGTCAGCATCACCTTCCAGTCGCGCAGGGTCGCCATCGTCGGCTGCTCCGATAGCACAATTCGAGCGTACGATATCACAAAGGGCCACATGCTGCGTAGGATGACTCTGGGCTCCGATCTCGTTGGTGGCTCCAAAGACATCATTGTCTGGTCTGTCAAATGTCTGCCAAACGGTAATATTGTTTCAGGCGATTCAACCGGCCAGGTTTGTATCTGGGATGGCAAGACATACACACAATCGCAACGTATCCAGAGCCACAAGCAAGATGTCTTGAGTCTTGCGATAAGTGCTGACGGCACATCCATCCTTAGCGGAGGTATGGACCGACGAACAATCCTGTACAAGCAGAACAACGGTGCTGGATCTCGATGGGCCAAAGCTTGGGGCCGAAGGTATCACGACCACGATGTCAAGTCTATGGCATCTTTTGAGAGTGGTAGAATCAGTGTTATTGTCTCAGGAGGTTAGACAAGCTCTCTCTATCGCTAAACTCTAGCTAACTCGGATACAGGACCTGATGCTAACCCGGTTGTGGTTCCCCTCAAGGAGATGGGACGTGAAAACCACCGCATGATGCCCAGCTTGCCTCAACAGGCTCCTCTACTGAGTGCGCCCAAGGCTCGATTTGTTGTCAGTTGGTGGGACAGGGAGGTTCACATATGGCTTCTCCGAAGATCAGCCAACGACATGTTGAACAGCGCAGGCGAGGAAGTCGACATCAACCAGAACCGCAAACTTATCAAGACTATTGTCGTCAAGGGAGATTCTAATATTACTTCAGCAACTATCGACGACGAGGGTTCACTTCTGATTGTTGCTACTGCTATCGACGTCAAGGCTTTCAGATTAGAACATCAAGAACCTATCAAGCCTTCAGACGTCAAGGTCTCTTCTTCTGAGCTCCCTTCGAAGCTTGCAGGTGTGGGCGCCATCAAGGTGCAGCTCTCACCTAACGCACAATGGCTCTGCGCGATTCAGGAAGGCTCTCGCGTTGTTATGGCCGCACTCGACCCCGTCAGCCCCAGAACATCTCTCATCTTCTCACCGCATGTACAAAGACTCACACGCTTACGACGACAAATTCCACGCTATATTCTCAATGGAGGTCTTGGCAGTTACGACAGGACCATTACACAGATCGCTTTCTCTCCAGACTCCAAGATGCTCGCTGCATCTGACATCGCGGGCTACATCGACACCTGGATTCTAAGCGATGGTGAGAAGACCAAGCCAGAGGATGACGCGTCCTCCTCAAGTGAGAGTGACTCTTCAGACGAAGAAGAGGAGCAGTCATCGCAGAATGTTGAGAAGTGGGTTCGTAATCCCAGTGCTAAACTACTACCCAAACTTCATTCTACAGCTACGGTTCTGTCCTTCTCAGCCGATGTCCCTCGGACCAAGATCTCTCCCAGAGCTTCGCCTGATGGAATAAATGGCTCATCCGATCATGTGGACGATTACACCCTCCTCGCCATCACCTCATCGTGGAACCTGCTTACCTTCCACCCTCTCCAAGGCTCTCTCACCCCCTGGTCTCGACGTCATGCCCGAAAGGACCTACCCGCTCCCGTCCAGGATCTCCTAGACCTAGCCAAGGGTGTCTTCTGGCAAGGCTCTCGTGCTTGGATCTATGGTGTCTCGTTCCTCCTTATGTTGGACTTGGCTCAAGACCTTCCTAAGCCTGTAGATGGCGAGATTAGTGAATCCACGGCCCCAGGCAAGCAGGGCCTTAAGCGCAAGAGAACAGGACCCTCAACCGGAGCGGGAGGCAGAATGGAGGTGGGTGCCATAGCACCCTCGCAAATTCGCAAACATACAGCTGGTCAGTGGGATGACATCGACATGGAGGATGCCCCCCGACCCGAGGACGCCAATAGCGACGATGAAGCGGATCAGCCTGAAGGTGAACTCGCCCAGCTACGGAACCGTCGTGATGTGGGCAAAGATCTCGAAGTTGCCGAGACTGGCGGTGAACGCAAGAGCTGGTGGATGACTTTCAAGTACAGACCCATC